CTTGAGCAGTAAGTTCTGTGCAATCCTTGCCTGTTTGGCAGCCCTCTCGCTGTTAGGACATCTCTCAGACTGTCTGCCTTTCTTTTGTCCCAGAGCAGCCAGATACAGATCCCTGCTTTCCACAAGTGGCTGGAATCTCATTCTCTCTAGGTATTCTGCTTGTCTTAGCTTTCCAAACCCCTAATCAGGAGAGCACCATGAAAGCACCATGAAATACAGGTTTGTGCTCCCAGAGCACATTTCCGGAGCTAGGTGTTCAGCAGTCCCAGGCCCTCAGTCCTTCCCTGCTCCATTTCTCTTCCTCTTGCCGGTGAACTGGGGTGTGGGAAGGGCTTGGGTGTTTCCGAGTCATAGCTTTGTTACATTACCCTGTTCCCATGAGGTTTATTCTTTCCTCCAGGTGTATGCAGTGTGGTGCAGCCCTCTTCCCTGTTGCTCTTTCAGGATTAGTTGTATTAATTATATTTTCGTATTATATGCGGTTTTAGGAGGAAGCCTGTGTCTCACCTCTCACACTGCCATCTTTTGTCTCCAGCTATAGGATTTCATTTTATCCCACTGCTGATGTCTACTTTATTCATTTGATTAAGGTGGTATTTTTTTCCCCTTTGTAATATGTATTTGTAGGAGGAAATGTGAAACCTTGTAAATATTTTCCTCCTCATTAGAATCCCAGAGTCATTTTTTTCATATATGTCTGGTTCAGATAACCTGTTTTAAGATAAGGTGATTACCAGGGTGAGTCTTACCTACTCACATGTGCCCTTTAAAAATGGAGAGTTTTTTTGTGACTGATCAAAGAAGAAGCCAGGGATTTGTAGCATAATTTAACTTTCTGTAAAATAGGGATGATAATGTCTATCTCATAGGATTATTTAGAGGGTCAAATGAGTTAATACATATAGAGCACTTAGATTAGTTAAGACCTGGCACACAGGAAGGCCTCACTACTTGGTGAAATTCTTGTAAATTAACATTAATGCAAATGTTCTCAGTTCTGATTTTTGTTCCTCTAATATTTCAGAAATAAATATTGGTATTCTTAAAAAGAAACAACAGTTCAGAAAGTATTTCTACTTGACCTTGGAATATGTTTTTATATTTATACTTCAAAATGTGTGTTAGTTTTCTAATCCTCCATAACAAATTAGCATAAGTTTAATTGCTTAAAACAACACTCATTTATCAGCTCACAGTTCTGTAGGTCAGAATTCTAGGCACTGTGTCGCTGACTTCTCTTTCGGATATCATAGGTTAAAATTAAAGTTTTGGCTGAACTATATTCTCATCTTGAGGTTCTGGGGAAAACCACTTCCAACTTCATTCAGATTGCTGGCAAAATTTAGTTCCTTGTGGTTATAAGAATGAGGTCTGAAGCTGTCTTACTGGTGTTCAGCTGAGAGCCTCAGGCCTGCTGGACACCACTGACAGTCTTTGCCACGTGGTCTTTCCATCTGCAAGCCAGCACAGTCATGTGGAATCCTTCTGAAACTCCTCTCTCTGACTTCTGTGACCATCCAGAGAACACTTTCTGCTTTTAAAGTGCTCTTTTGATCAGGTCATACTTGTCTAATTATCTCTTTACTTTTATTTTCCCATAAATAGTATAATCATTGGGTTGCTACTTGCATCTATAAAATCCTTTCAGAGTAGTACCTGAATTACTTTTTGGTTGAATAATTTGGAGGAGGTATGTGTATACCATGGACTGGGAGTCTTGAGGGCTATCTTAGAATTCTCCCTACTATAATATATATGTATCAGGTAGTTTTCTAACAAATAATTTCAAATACAGTGATGAAGCCTTGCTGAAAATCTCAGTGAGGAAGAGTTAGAAAAGCTTCCAAAATTGCCTGTCCTATCTTGTGGCAAGCTAGTTGCTATTCATAATAGATTGTTGTCCTCTTAAAGTAATCCAAATTTTTTTGCAATGTAAAGGAAGTCTCTCTGTTTCACCAGAATCAGGTTTTGATAACATGGTGTCTGTAAGATAATTCTAGCCGGAATAAGCAGGCAAAGAGAGGCAACAAAGGGCTGGGTAATTTATTTAAATACCCCCAGGTGATGTTCTCATGGCCTGGGTACTACAAGCCGGAGAAGTCACGCCCAGTTAGGAAGGTGGGGCACTTATAAGGGATTAGGAGGGGGAGGAGTGGGCAAGCTATCCTAAGGGGTGCTGAGAGGTACAGTTGGCTAAAGGTGACATAATAGACAACTAGAAACTTTTTTCCTTCTAAGAGGAAAGAGGCTGACATCCGGGTCCCAGTTGGCACATCAGGATGGAATTCAGGGAGAGCTGTCCGCTTTCCATATACGGCACGGACTTTGGGGTCTGGTCTGTTCTCCCCCTATGGCATCTCTCTGTTCTGTTTGCATGTCTTTGTTTTTCCTTTCTCCAGCCTAACATTCCAGCCTTTTGGTCATAATGGGCGACGACTCAATCTGGCTACTTCCGGCTGACAAGGGGCGTCGTGGGGGTTTGAGGCTGGTATGAGGCTGAAGGAGGGGGTTCAGTGGGAAGAGGTACGTAACGGTGAAGTAACATCTGGTTGGTGGTGACTCGGGTCATCTGGGTTAGCTGCTGTTGGAGGAACCAATGACCATACAGAAGATCCCTCACCCTCACGTAACCTCCTCACCACACGCTGAGATGGACCCCTCTCTCCGCTGGAAATTGTTCCTGGAAACAATGGCTGCAGACGCCTGGCTTCTGGCACCTGTATCCTCCTGGCACCACCATTAGAATGAACAAGTCCTCGACCTATAGTTACAGGGAACCTTCATTGATTTCCAACCTGAAGAAGTCCACATCTACTCATCCTTACTGTGGGGAGTCCTATCAACCCTTTCCTCCCGGTCCTCAAGCCCTTACTCCCTTCTCCGCCCCCATTCAGCAGGAAGCAGTCAGAGAGAAAAGCAACGTCCACAACCCCATAGAGGAGAAAGGAGGGAATGAAGGGCCCTCACCAGTAAGATGGCAAACTTCCAGCTTCTCTTCGGGGGGGGGCGTCCTCGGTTCCCACTGGTGCCACCTGAAGACCAATCACCTCTCTCCCCTCTCCCATTCCCAGCACCTAGCCAATAGCCACCAACCCCGTAGAAGTGACACCTCAGTCAGCTCATGCCCCTTCCTATATAACCCAACACCTTTCCCTAATAAAGCGGAATTCTCCAGTGAATTGCTGCTGTGTGTCGCTCCTTTCCTTTCAGTGTCCCTATTGGTTTAGAAGTGAATGCTCAGAATATCTCACAAATCCATGGTTGTAAATTCAAGCAGTGGTATCTCTGTGTGCCTGTAGACAATTATATTTTGCTTCTGTTCCCTCAGCTTACAAATGGGCATATAATAAAAGTGAAGTTGTCAGGAAAAAAAGCCATAACAGGTGGCCATAATTACCTCTTGATAATTATGCTTCTGTTACTATTATGAGCATGAATATTTCCTGTGTGCATAGTAGTTTCTTAATGAAGTTATGCCTCTTTTCCCTTCTTCCCTTTTCATTAATACAGCTAGTGATGAGTAAACGGTATGCTTGAAAATGAAGGAGTAATGGGGAGATAAATGAAGGACTGTATAGTGGTAGAGAAAGTTCATAAAAGAAAATCATCTAAAATTATTTGTTGGGCCTTGGAATTATTCTTGTAATTTTGTTAGCACCCTTTTTATGTTCATCCTCTGGGTAGTTGGCAGGACAGTTTAAAATACCTGTGGGCTTAAATTTAGATTTTGCTATAAATAAACACAATACACAGAAGTGAGAATTTGCTTATATTTGGGGAGTAATATAGGTGAATGGGCATAGTATTGGAGAGCATATTTCGATGTTAATAAACTTGTGAAAAATTTTTTGTATTAAGACAGAGGTTCTGTTTGTAAAATTCTACTTGTTAGTAAGACTAGGTTTTATAGATTTACTTTAATATAGAGATTGTGTTTGAACAATTAAAATACTCATAATCGTGTAGTTTTTATACACTCAGTAAGTTCTTGTGGATGACATGGGGGAAACACTAATTTATTAAGCTGGAAAAATTGTCTCCTAGTATTATCTCACTGCCTTTTTACTATTTTGTAAATAATCAATGATATATGTTAATGTTTGAACCAAAAAAAAGTATACTTTTATTTATCAAGTTGTTTACTACTCACTACTAACATTATGACACCTTAGTGTTATTAACTAATGCTTAGATCTGAAAATCTGAAACAGTTAAGAAACTTGGCCTCTCTCTACTTAACATTAGCAGAGTTTCAAAGATTTTTCTGCTCTAAACAGTTGCTTTTTATGAAATTTAATAGGAAAAACTTTTAAGGTTTTGGTCCATAAGTTCTCTGTATAGTTGTACATTATTCAATATGAAACACTTGAGACCAGATGAATAAATGACAGCAGCATGTTTTTAAGAATTTGCTTAAACTTTCAGTAGAATTAGTGTTGAATCATGGACAACTGTAAAGTAATTATGATTAGTTAGTGCTTCTCAGACATTAGCATGCATAGAATTCCTAGGGAGACTGTTAAGACAGATTCCTGGATCTCATCCTCAGAGCTGATCTAGTATGCCTGTGATAGTGCCAAGACATTGGAATTACAGTCTCAGCTAGTGCTGTCAATCTCATTTGAGTTGTAGAGAACTAGATTATGTGTGAGAACGTTCAAACCATGGCAAATAGCAGGTTATGTAATGAATGTTTTATTGTCCTTTGTGACCTAATTAGTGACCAAAAATTACAAATTACGCTTTGTTAAATTACTTTATATCCAGAGGTTAATACATAAGGCAGGATTTGGCAAATTAAGGAATATTTTATATGTTGCTTTACTGTCATTATTCATATTTGCTGTTTTATTATTATAATAATAAACTATAATAATATTTTGCTTGAGCAGTTGTATTGAAATAAAATTGCCTGAATTCTAACAAAAATTTTATTCGAAAAATAATTCCTAATTGTGGTAGTTAATTTTTTTCTCTCCTCTTCCCTCATTTATTTACAGGCAGTACTTAATTTTCCTAAGTATTGTGAACCTGTGGTAAAAGGAGAAGGTAACTATGTTATTTTAGTTATTAATACTTCTTTTGAAAAAATTTCTGTAAAATCTAAATTACTGGTATTTTCTCCCCATTGGGGTAGCCAGTGAACGTGATACTCGCAAACTCTGGAGAAATATTGAACCTCATTTGAAGAAAGCCATGCAGACTGTTTACCTCAGGGAGATATCAAGGTAATTTTCTGTTTAGTATGTGTGTTTTTATCTTTACTTGGGATATTTATGAAAGGATACATGTATACCTTCACATGGAAAAACTTTTGAAGTTGAATCATTTATTATTTTGGGGAAGGACAAATAACTTTTAACTAGTGTTTTACACAATTTGAAACACGGCATATATTTAACAATTTTCAATTTTTAAAAATCAGTTACAGCTTTGATTTTATATTTATGATAGGTATTTGAATGGTATAATGAAAATTTGATTATTAAATGTATAAACTAAGTCATTACCTACATTTGTCTATTAGTAGAATTTCATATTCTAGTATGTGAAACTAGAATATGTGAAATTTCATATTCTAGTAATGAAACTTCTGTGGAGACATGGTGGCACAAAGTGTAGTGGGAAGAACAGGGTTTTTATTTCTAGCTCTGCCATTTTCTTCACTCTGTAGTCTTAACAAGTCACCTAAAACTTCTAGCCCTTGGCTTCCTCCTCCTAACAAACCTTAGAAGATTTAAATAATATATTTGAAAATGATTGTGAATTATAAAGTGGTTAAGCCTATTTTACAAAGTAATACAGGAAATCAGAACATCAGTGCTATCTGCTTTTCTCACTTTGTAATCACTTTTGTTATTTTTCTCTCATAAATACTTTATTTTATAACTACTTTTCTTTACTAAATTTGCTTTTAATTTCATTAGCTAATGAAACTATTAATTCAGGTAAAAATTTAATAGGTTCTGAATAAGTAGAAACATTGCAACGGTACTGTTATTCCTCTTTCCGGTCATAAAAGGCATTTGAAGAGGATTTTTGGACATCACAGAATAGAAAAACCTCTAATCTGTCCTTTTAAAGATAGATAAATTTGGATGCTTGTTAATATGACTCTTCAAAAATAAAGGACTTATAGTTCCCCATAAGATAATGATGACCAGCTAAATCTTCTCTCCACAAGAACAATGAGAGCAAATAAAATCACTCATAACCCTTGCCTGCCATACAGATAGAAGTCTATAAAGTTGACTACACACTTCAAGTTATATGTAAATAGTGAAATAAACAACCAAAGCCAGCAGAGCCATCTCTGGAGCTCATGCTGAAATGAAAAGTTAAGCAAAGACTGCAAGGAAACGGGATGACAGTGAGGGCAGGGGGTAGGGTTGACTAGTAGGGGTGAAATACATCTGAAATCATCTCCAGAAAGAGAAAGTCCAACCCTTAGTGGGAAAATATTGAGAATAAAAGAGACCTGAAGGATTAGAGCTCTGGATACTGGAGAATGCAAAGTAAATGTTGTAAGAATATATAGGACAAGATTTAGCATAGTAGTCTTGGGAAAGTACAATTCCTGACTGGATATAGGGAGGGGATTTGGAAGGACATGACATCTGGGGGTTGTAGTGAAGACAGAAGCAAGGGGTGGAAATTAAAAATAATTCCCCACTACCATCAAACAAAAAGAGAATGGCAAAAGCAGAAAATCAGCTAATCCCTCCCCATCACAATGGCAGTATATATTAAAGGAACTGCACTTGATTATTACAGAAGAAAGCATTTTAGTATTAAGTCTAACAAGTTGACCCAAACCTTTATTCCTGCATTCACAGAATCATATTTGTTGATCCAGGCGAACTTTGGGCATTTCAAAATGAAGACAAAACAATATAGAAAAGCCATAAACTGGTATTCTAAGGAGAAACAGAAAATGTGAATAAAAGCACTTCAGCTAATGAAAATTACTCCTTCCCACCCAAAATAAAGAAGAGAAAGATTAACACAGTTCTCCAACCTGATTTACATTTTAAACAAACATTTTCAGATATGAAAAATACCTTTAAATAGAAATTCAACTCAGAATAAATGGACAAAGTGCAGGAGGATGTGAAACAAAAATTGACCAGACTTAGGAGCGGAATTCAAGCAAAAGTAATCATCTCAATAATGACAATGAAATTTTAAAATAGCCAAGGGAGAGTAGATTCAACAGAATATAGTAAAGGATATCAAGAAGAAGACTAAAACAAGTAAGAGATCCAAACCAGATAGATAAAAATAATCAAGTAGAATGTAATAAATGTGACAGGCAAAGAAGATTGAATATATGTATGATTGGAGTTCCCAAAGAACAAATAGAAAACTGGGTTTGAATCAAGATCTCAAACTATAAACCAAGAAAAACTTCCCAAAAGTAAAATATCTGGCTTTACCTGTTAAAGGGTTCATCTTTCCTTTGACCCAGAATGGTCGATTCTGAGACTCTCCTAGTCTATGCTTTGTAACCAATTAGTAGTTTAACACAATACACACTTATCTTACATTTACAGATGTCAGAAATCTAATATGGGTGCACAAGGCTGGATTCCGTCTGGAGGCTTTTGGGGAGGATCTGTTTCTTTGCCTTTTCTAACATCTAGAGGCTACCTGCATTCCTTGGCTTTGTGTTTCTTCCTCCATCTTCAAAACCAGCAATGTATCATTTTCTCTTTTCTCTGACCACCTGTCTTGTTCTTAGAAGAATCCTTCTGATTAGATTGATCCTACCCACATTATCCAGAATAAGCTCCCCATCTCAAGATCCTTAATTCAGTCACATCTGCAAAGTCTCATGCCACATTAAGTTATAGTCAAAGTTTCCAGAGCTTCAAGCATGGGCATCTTTAGGGGACTGTCACTCAGTTTACTGCAGAGTTTCTTGTACTTTAGCTTTAAAAATTAAATTAAATTTTAAGAAATCTCTGAGTTTCCAGGCAAAAAAGATAAATCACTTACAAAGGAAAAGTGAATCTGTAATAAAAAAGACGAGTGGATACCACTTTCAAGAAACTCAAGGAGAAAGGAAGTGTAAAGCAAAAGATTTTATATCAAGTATCAGGTCTCTAGGAATAGTTTTAAACATATAAGAACTCAGGGAACACTACATTCACAGAACATTTCCGAAGAGTCTTCTAGTGACAACGTTGGTGCAATAGAGATGACTAGGGAAATTTTGGCAAAAGGATTGATGATAAGCACTGAATTTAATTAATTTGAGCTCAGAACAAAAATGAAAATGGGAAAAGGGTAGAAAAATATTGTGTAAATGTTACATGTTCAGACATGGTAGGAATAACACAGTTATTAATACATTTTAAGAGAGGAGAGAGGAAAGTAGAACAAACTCAGTGATTATACAGTTAAAAGATGGGTGTCAATAATTTAGAAGCTAAAACTTTTTTTTTAAGTATATGTCTCATATCCTTTCTTAGCCCTCTCACCTCCCTAAAATTATATAATTTTTGGCTTGTCCTCTTGTATCTTTTAAAAAAAATTTTCACATATTTTTGTATATGCAAAGATATCTTCCTTTTGCAATTAATATATAATCTGTAACATGTTTCTTTCATAAAAGGTATAGAACAAAGAAATGAACATTGCTAATCTGATGCCTTGCTGAGGCATTCTGAAAACCTTTGTTTCTAATGAGTAAATTGCTAGATTTCTGTATGTGTTTATTTTCCTTTTTGAATAAAAATTTTTGATAGTTAAGGCAGTTTTCATTTTTGTCCCAACTAGTTAGGTACCTTTATAGTCATGAAATTTATAATGCCCATAGATGCATTTTTTCCTGCAATGTCTCATGAAGGATTAGTGAGACTTTCCAATAGTGTAATGGAGAAATGACATTGTAAGCCTGGTGATAATCCAGTCCATTTGAAAGTGTTCAAATCACATCAAAGTAAATCACTCATCCGTTTTGTTTCCACAGTCCCCCCTGAATCCCATTCACCCACATATAATAAAATTTACTAAGTCAGAAAATAATAGTCATATATTTCTTATTTCCTGAGATTTAATAATTGAGATAAGCAGAAGGAAGAAAATAAAAGTCCTAGATGGCTGGATCCTGACTCAGCAAGCTGTTTGGAATACATGTTGTTTTTATAGCTTTAATGAGCAGTTTGGACGAATTATGAAAAAGACTCCAACCTGCTCCCTGATTTATCTTAAAATTCTAGCCTATTCAACATCAATTAATATAACTATTATGACTCTGAATCACCTCTGGACCTTGCTAGTTTATATATATTTATTTAGAACATGGACAAACTTTTTAGTCAGAGCTCAGTTGAAACTCTGGTTCCACATTTAGGATATTTGCAGCCTTAGTCAAATTAGTTAAATTCTCTGACTCTCAGTTTTGTCTTTTGTAAAAAAAGAAAAATGATGCTATCTATAAATTCATGAGGATTAAATGGGATATGTTAAGGGCTGGGTTTACAAAACATTAGTAAGTGTTAGTTTCCTCTCTTTCCTTTAAAGACGGTCAATTTTCCCTTTGTTATCCTTTGAGAATTTAACAATATTAAATAGGTAATTGCTGTATAAGAAAATTTTACCAATTTAAACGCATGAAGTGTAGTAATAACATTGTAACTGATAAAATTTTTATTTGCTTTCATAAGAAATAATGAATGTAAAAATACCTTATAATCTGAGAATCATTATTCAGGTATAAGATGGAGGAAATTATCTATTTTGAAAGTCATCTTATTGGACTAGGTCTGCTCTCTGCTTAGGCTGCCAGTAGTAGCTTATCATAATTTCCCATATTACTGTTTTTAAGCATACCTGCTTGAAACTAAAGGTTCAGTTCCAGACCACGGCAATTAAGTGAATCTCTCAACAAAGCAAATCAAATGAATTTTTGATTTGCCAGTGTGTATGAAAGTATGTTTATGTTTTATTGTGGTCTGTTAAGTATGCAATAGCATTATGTCTAAAAATCAATGTATATACTTTAATTTAAAAATACTTTATTGTTAAAAATATTAAGCATCATCTCAGCTTTCAGCGAGTGATCTTTTAACCAGTGTAGGATCTTGCCTCGATGTTGAAAGCTAACTGATCAGAGTGCTGGAGGCTGAAGGTGCGGTAACTAGCAATTTCTTAAAATAAGACAACAAAGTTTGCCACATCATTTGACTCTCTTCCTTTCATGAATAATTTCTCTGTAGCATGTGATGCTGTTCAATAGCATTTTACCTACAGTAAAACTTTTTTCAAAATTGGAGTTAGTGTTCTCAAACTCTGCCACTACTTTATCAACATAAACTTGGTTGCTTTCATTTACTTCATTTAGTTGACATCATTTCAGCAATCTTCACAGCATCTTCACCAGGAATAAATTCTATCTCAAGAAACTTCTTTCTTTACTCATCCATGAGAAGCAACTCCTCCATGAAGTTTTTACTATGAGATTGCAGCAATTCAGTCACATTTTCAGGCTCCACTTCTAGTTCTCTTCCTGTTTTCATCACTCCTGTAGGTACTTCACTGAAGTCTTGAACCCCTCCAACTCATCCATGTAGGCTGGAATCAATTTCCTACGAATTCCTGCTACTGTTTATATTTTGACCTCTTCCTATGAATCATACATATTCCTAATAGCATCTAGATTGGTGAATCCTTTCCAGAAGGTTTTCAATTTCCTTTGCCCAGATCCATCAGAGGAATCACTATTTATAGCAGCTATAGTCTTACAAAATGTATTTCTTAAATAATAAAACTTGAAAGTCAAAGTGACTCCTAGATATATGGGCTGCAAAATGGTTGTGTTAGGAAACATGAAAACAGCATTCATCTCATTGTACATCTCCGTAAGAGTTCTTGATTGACCAGGTGCATTGTTTAACAATCATATTTTGAAAGGAACTTTTTTTCCTTAGAAGTAGGTCTCAACAGTGAGCTTAAACTGTATTCAGTGGGCTTAAAAATTACAACCATGTTGTAAACAGATGTGCTGTTATCCAGGCTTTGTTGTCCCATTTATAGAGCCAGACAGAACACATTTAGCATAATTCTTAAGGGCCCTCAGATATTCAGAATGGTAAGTGAGCATTGGCTTCAACTTAAAGCCAGCTGCTACATTAGCCCCTAAAAGAAAATCGGTCTGTCTTTTGAAGCTTTGAAGCCAGGCATTGACTTCTCATCTCTAGCTATGAAAGTCCTAGATAGCTGCTGCTTCCACTAGAAGGCTGTTTCATCTACATTGAAAATCTGTTCTGTATGTAGCCACCTTGTTTAATTAACTTGTATAATTTGCTGCAGCTTCTACATCAGCACTTGCTGGTTCACCTTCCATTTTTATGTTCTTGAGATAGTTTTTATCCTTCAACTCATGAGTCAACTTCTGCCAGCCTTTAGGTTTTCTTCTGCAGCTTCCCCACCTCTCTCAGCCTTCACAGAATTGAAGAGTTAGGGCCTTGCTCTGGATTAGGCTTTGCTTAAAGGAATGTTGTGGCTGGTTTGATCTTCTATCCAGACCACTAAAACTTACTCCACATCAGTAATAAGGCTGTTTTGATTTCTTACTGTCCACTTCTTCCCTGGAGTAGCACTTTTAATTTCTTTAAATAACTTTTTCTTTGCATTTTCAGCTTGGCTAACTCGTGCAAGGGGCCTATATTTTGGCCTCTCTCAGGTTTTGGCATGCCTTCCTCACTAACCTTAATCATTTCTAGTGTTTGATTTAAATTGAGAGATGTGTGACTTCCTTTTACTTGAACACTTAGAGACCATCGTGGGGTTGTTAACTGACCTAATTTGAATATTGTTGTGCCTCAGGGGATAGGGAGGCCTGAGGAGACAGAGAGAGATGGAGGAACAGTCATAACACACGTTTAAGTTCAACACTTCACATGGGCCCAGTTCATGGCACCCCAAAACAATTACAGTAGAAACATTGAAGATAACTGATCACAGATCACCATAAGAAATACAATAATAAAAAGTTTAAAGTATTGTGAGAATTACCAAAATGAAGTAATCAAATGCTGTTGGAAAAATGGTACTGATAGAGACTTGCTCAATGTGGGGTTGCCACAGACCTTTTGTTAGAAAAAAAAAATGGCAGTATCTGTGAAGCACAGTAAACAAGGTATGCTTGTATTTTGAGAATTTTCAGCTTTGCTTATAGATATAAAATACATATACCATTTTATTTTGGATGGTTAATTGTTCTACTCTGGCATTTATTTTTAAATTAGTATTTTAAGAGCTGTATTAAGAGAGTTTCAGCATCAAACTGCCCTGTTTTTTTATGAGAAGGTTGATTTATTCAAGATCGTATAGCTAAGACATCTGTCTCCCAGGGCAGTCTTTGTACTGGACTATAGTGTTTTTCCTTATGAATTTGATTTGTCATATCATATTCTTAATCATACTTGAGGCTCTTTAATAGTTTTAATTGCAGGTAAGGTCAGAGTGGGGTAGTGTAAATAGTATGAACTTGGTAGGCATTCTACAGAAATTCAGCTCTGAGCTGTACTACTGATTGGGTGTTTTTAGGCAGCTTCACCTATGGGCCTCAGTTTTCTGATTTAGTAATACTTATTTTAAGAGATTGTTATAGAGTTTAGAAATAGTGTGTAACAATGGTATCTTAATATGGTAACTGGAACATTGGGAGTTTTATTATGGTAGATGATACTACTTTTTGATAGTGTTACAATTATCACCAGAAAAAGATGTTTTTTAATTACCATTGGTTATTGATATAAAAATTTATATTCTAGTATACACTGATTTTGTAGATGTACAAACATGTATACTTCATGTATATAATACTTGTATTATTGACTATTTTATCATTAAATCAAAATTTTATTTTTTCTAGGACTGTTCTAAGTACGGTACACTGATTTCATGTATTTTTAGTTAATTATTGCTCTTCTCTTTTCTTTCAGTTCACAGTGGGAAAAGCTACAGAAAGATGACACAGATCCAGGACAGCTGAAAGGTAACAAAGAAATACTGAGACAGTTGCCAGAGATACTTCTTTAACTGATTACTAATAATCAAGATGCTATAAAGTTAATACTAAAGGTAGGGTAGGGTTAGTCTATAAATGTGTTATAAAAGACAATTTACTAAGTGAAGCTCAGTTTTCTACTTTCTAATGTTGGATTTATCATGTGAGAATAAAACAATTTGTATTTCTTTAAATTCTTTAGTTAAAACAATCAAAACAATCAAGTATATGACAATTTTATCTCAGTATGTGTGTTTCTTGAGTTGTATGGAATAAAATCCAATTTATATTAACCCAGTTTGGGGGATGCATTTCAGCTGGTTATGTTTTAAAAGCTTTGTATTTTTTGCTTTCTTTAAAGAAACTGTTACTTTGGATTTATTCTGCTAGAACAATTTTTACTTAAAAAAATGAGTATCTAAAATATTCTTATTTAAAAAAATCAGTAGGTAGCAGTTAGGGGACATGATGTAAAATGAAGTGGTTGACATTTTGTTTTGGTTTCTAACTTGAGATGCTGTACAAGTGATTTTCAGTTTTTTGTTGTAATGGAAAGAAATAGATGCTAAAGTTAGAAAATTTGCAATAATTGGTCTGTGCTACTCCCTAATGGTGTGACCTTGAACCAACTCAGTGTCTTCATTTAAAATGGGAAAAATAATCTAGCTGTAAGTTACTGCAAAGAATCAGAAATGCTTAAGTAAAGCACAGTGTCTGACACATATTAGATATCCAATAAATAGCAGATTCCTTCCTCCCTTCCCATAAGTACCAGTGCTGCTTGATTAGCTCTGTTTTTTATTTATCCATTCAGTTATTTCCTTTGTGCAAGGCAGTGTAGAGATAAAAAAAAAATCAGATGCTTCTTCAGAGAACAGTATAGCTTGGTAAGAAATATAATTTATGGATAATTAACTGTTAATGTAACGTATAAAGTAATGTGGGCCATAGTGAAATACATAAAGGAAGTCATAGTAAAAGCAGATTTTTAAATTTTGGGACAGGGAAGGTTTAATGTATAGTGTGGCTTTGAAGGTCTGGTTCAATAGGATTTAGACTTCAGAACTGGAGAAGTCAATAAGAATAGAACAAGCAAAGCTTATCAGTAGTGTCCACCACCACCGACCTATTTCTGTCACTTTAAACGCAGGGTGTACGTCTTTTTGACTGAAAAATACCATATTGGAAGTCAAAAGATAAGTGAGGAAAGATAAGAGATACTTAAAATCTAATGGTAACTTATTAAAAACCTTCATAAAAGTTTTTTGCCATGTAGGTCTCTCAGCACATACTCATGTGGAACTTCCATATTATTCTAAGTTTATTCTAATTGCTGCATACCTTGCTTCATACAATCCAGCAAGAACTGATAAGAGGTTCTTCCTTAAGGTAATAATTACATCTTTTCACTTGTATGAGAGATGGGGATAATTTTAAGGGTGCTAACTCCTTTATTCTAAAGCTCTTAAAGTAGTGTCATGTACTCTATACATCATTATCCAGAACGTTGGAGAAGTCCTATTTTAGAATTATTTTCTTTCTGAAACAAATAATATGCAGTTTGCTATATTATTAAATGTATTTATAATCAATTTTTTTTTTTTTGCTTCTTTCTCCCACTAGTCTTCAGTTTCATGAGGGCAAGGACCATATCTATTTTTCCCCCGTGTTGAATCCCAAGAGCTCAGCTAAATGCTCTTAATCAGTGTTTTTTATGTGAATTGATATCCTGCTTAAGGGATGATTAAAAGCTCATTTATCTTAGTAATTTTTGTTTTTAAAGAAATAAAGCTGTAATAAATCAATATAAGTTTTTTGTAATGAAGTATCACTTTCATTTAAAAACCTTTTTATCATCGTGGACAGGTAATCTTGTATATGTTGAAAATCTAAGTGAAATTACCCTAAAATACGTTGGTATTTTAAGGTGATATTTTAGGTTCTAAGGAAAATAAAATAAACAGCCCTAAAATACATAAATTAGCATCATGTGTGCCATGTTTTAAACAAATTATGTTTTCTGTTTTTGTAGAATACTTTTTTTTAAATCTTGGAAACTATTTTCTTTAATTGCAGCATCATGGGAAAATCAAGAAAACCAACTTTCTAAAGAAACATGAGAAGGTATTTATATTTTAATTTCTCTAATGGGAAAAACTTAGGAATTTAATGTACTGTTGGAAGTGGACATAGCATGCCTTATTATTAGTCACTTGGACATGAGAAGTTATATTGATACACATCATAATTACATTATAGTAGTATTTTATTATGTTGAATACAGTGATTGAAGGTGCATTCAAGTGAGCTTATTCCCATGCATGTAAATACAGATTCTTATTGTATTTGCCATTGCTAATACAGACTTCGCCTTCCTTTTTAAATGGGAAGCCAGTTTGCATTTGTAGCACACAAAATCAGTTCAGTGAAGAAGATAAATTTCCTATGTCCTACATTCTAATTTTAAATTCACAAAATTTAAAAAGTGAAAATCAGAAAAAGTATCAGCAGCTTTCACAATGTGATTCTCAAGTTGAATTGCCTCCCACATTATTCCCAACACTTCAGGGATTTAGGTAATTTTTACTAACCTCAAGTCACTTCTAAGTGTTAATGAGAACAGGGACACCAATTCCATTTAGATATCTCAACATTTATTTTTTTCTTTCTTCCCTCTAACACCATTCATTCATTCATTATCCATTCATCTATTCATTTATCTAATAATCCTGTGCTGGGGGTAAAAAAGTGAGTAAAGCATTTCCTGTTTTGAAGGATTTGTCTAGAAAAGAAAAAATAAACATCAAAGTATATCATGAAGATAATAGTATTGAGCACCTCACCTATGAGCCAAACACTGTTAAGCTCTGCATGTGATCTTACTTAATTCTCACAATAACATAATGAATGTGGTGACTATCAATATCCTTGTTTTCTAGATAGGAAACAGNAAATCTAATATGGGTGCACAAGGCTGGATTCCGTCTGGAGGCTTTTGGGGAGGATCTGTTTCTTTGCCTTTTCTAACATCTAGAGGCTACCTGCATTCCTTGGCTTTGTGTTTCTTCCTCCATCTTCAAAACCAGCAATGTATCATTTTCTCTTTTCTCTGACCACCTGTCTTGTTCTTAGAAGAATCCTTCTGATTAGATTGATCCTACCCACATTATCCAGAATAAGCTCCCCATCTCAATATCCTTAATTCAGTCACATCTGCAAAGTCTCATGCCACATTAAGTTATAGTCAAAGTTTCCAGAGCTTCAAGCATGGGCATCTTTAGGGGACTGTCACTCAGTTTACTGCAGAGTTTCTTGTACTTTAGCTTTAAAAATTAAATTAAATTTTAAGAAATCTCTGAGTTTCCAGGCAAAAAAGATAAATCACTTACAAAGGAAAAGTGAATCTGTAATAAAAAAGACGAGTGGATACCACTTTCAAGAAACTCAAGGAGAAAGGAAGTGTAAAGCAAAAGATTTTATATCAAGTATCAGGTCTCTAGGAATAGTTTTAAACATATAAGAACTCAGGGAACACTACATTCACAGAACATTTCCGAAGAGTCTTCTAGTGACAACGTTGGTGCAATAGAGATGACTAGGGAAATTTTGGCAAAAGGATTGATGATAAGCACTGAATTTAATTAATTTGAGCTCAGAACAAAAATGAAAATGGGAAAAGGGTAGAAAAATATTGTGTAAATGTTACATGTTCAGACATGGTAGGAATAACACAGTTATTAATACATTTTAAGAGAGGAGAGAGGAAAGTAGAACAAACTCAGTGATTATACAGTTAAAAGATGGGTGTCAATAATTTAGAAGCTAAAACTTTTTTTTTAAGTATATGTCTCATATCCTTTCTTAGCCCTCTCACCTCCCTAAAATTATATAATTTTTGGCTTGTCCTCTTGTATCTTTTAAAAAAAATTTTCACATATTTTTGTATATGCAAAGATATCTTCCTTTTGCAATTAATATATAATCTGTAACATGTTTCTTTCATAAAAGGTATAGAACAAAGAAATGAACATTGCTAATCTGATGCCTTGCTGAGGCATTCTGAAAACCTTTGTTTCTAATGAGTAAATTGCTAGATTTCTGTATGTGTTTATTTTCCTTTTTGAATAAAAATTTTTGATAGTTAAGGCAGTTTTCATTTTTGTCCCAACTAGTTAGGTACCTTTATAGTCATGAAATTTATAATGCCCATAGATGCATTTTTTCCTGCAATGTCTCATGAAGGATTAGTGAGACTTTCCAATAGTGTAATGGAGAAATGACATTGTAAGCCTGGTGATAATCCAGTCCATTTGAAAGTGTTCAAATCACATCAAAGTAAATCACTCATCCGTTTTGTTTCCACAGTCCCCCCTGAATCCCATTCACCCACATATAATAAAATTTACTAAGTCAGAAAATAATAGTCATATATTTCTTATTTCCTGAGATTTAATAATTGAGATAAGCAGAAGGAAGAAAATAAAAGTCCTAGATGGCTGGATCCTGACTCAGCAAGCTGTTTGGAATACATGTTGTTTTTATAGCTTTAATGAGCAGTTTGGACGAATTATGAAAAAGACTCCAACCTGCTCCCTGATTTATCTTAAAATTCTAGCCTATTCAACATCAATTAATATAACTATTATGACTCTGAATCACCTCTGGACCTTGCTAGTTTATATATATTTATTTAGAACATGGACAAACTTTTTAGTCAGAGCTCAGTTGAAACTCTGGTTCCACATTTAGGATATTTGCAGCCTTAGTCAAATTAGTTAAATTCTCTGACTCTCAGTTTTGTCTTTTGTAAAAAAAGAAAAATGATGCTATCTATAAATTCATGAGGATTAAATGGGATATGTTAAGGGCTGGGTTTACAAAACATTAGTAAGTGTTAGTTTCCTCTCTTTCCTTTAAAGACGGTCAATTTTCCCTTTGTTATCCTTTGAGAATTTAACAATATTAAATAGGTAATTGCTGTATAAGAAAATTTTACCAATTTAAACGCATGAAGTGTAGTAATAACATTGTAACTGATAAAATTTTTATTTGCTTTCATAAGAAATAATGAATGTAAAAATACCTTATAATCTGAGAATCATTATTCAGGTATAAGATGGAGGAAATTATCTATTTTGAAAGTCATCTTATTGGACTAGGTCTGCTCTCTGCTTAGGCTGCCAGTAGTAGCTTATCATAATTTCCCATATTACTGTTTTTAAGCATACCTGCTTGAAACTAAAGGTTCAGTTCCAGACCACGGCAATTAAGTGAATCTCTCAACAAAGCAAATCAAATGAATTTTTGATTTGCCAGTGTGTATGAAAGTATGTTTATGTTTTATTGTGGTCTGTTAAGTATGCAATAGCATTATGTCTAAAAATCAATGTATATACTTTAATTTAAAAATACTTTATTGTTAAAAATATTAAGCATCATCTCAGCTTTCAGCGAGTGATCTTTTAACCAGTGTAGGATCTTGCCTCGATGTTGAAAGCTAACTGATCAGAGTGCTGGAGGCTGAAGGTGCGGTAACTAGCAATTTCTTAAAATAAGACAACAAAGTTTGCCACATCATTTGACTCTCTTCCTTTCATGAATAATTTCTCTGTAGCATGTGATGCTGTTCAATAGCATTTTACCTACAGTAAAACTTTTTTCAAAATTGGAGTTAGTGTTCTCAAACTCTGCCACTACTTTATCAACATAAACTTGGTTGCTTTCATTTACTTCATTTAGTTGACATCATTTCAGCAATCTTCACAGCATCTTCACCAGGAATAAATTCTATCTCAAGAAACTTCTTTCTTTACTCATCCATGAGAAGCAACTCCTCCATGAAGTTTTTACTATGAGATTGCAGCAATTCAGTCACATTTTCAGGCTCCACTTCTAGTTCTCTTCCTGTTTTCATCACTCCTGTAGGTACTTCACTGAAGTCTTGAACCCCTCCAACTCATCCATGTAGGCTGGAATCAATTTCCTACGAATTCCTGCTACTGTTTATATTTTGACCTCTTCCTATGAATCATACATATTCCTAATAGCATCTAGATTGGTGAATCCTTTCCAGAAGGTTTTCAATTTCCTTTGCCCAGATCCATCAGAGGAATCACTATTTATAGCAGCTATAGTCTTACAAAATGTATTTCTTAAATAATAAAACTTGAAAGTCAAAGTGACTCCTAGATATATGGGCTGCAAAATGGTTGTGTTAGGAAACATGAAAACAGCATTCATCTCATTGTACATCTCCGTAAGAGTTCTTGATTGACCAGGTGCATTGTTTAACAATCATATTTTGAAAGGAACTTTTTTTCCTTAGAAGTAGGTCTCAACAGTGAGCTTAAACTGTATTCAGTGGGCTTAAAAATTACAACCATGTTGTAAACAGATGTGCTGTTATCCAGGCTTTGTTGTCCCATTTATAGAGCCAGACAGAACACATTTAGCATAATTCTTAAGGGCCCTCAGATATTCAGAATGGTAAGTGAGCATTGGCTTCAACTTAAAGCCAGCTGCTACATTAGCCCCTAAAAGAAAATCGGTCTGTCTTTTGAAGCTTTGAAGCCAGGCATTGACTTCTCATCTCTAGCTATGAAAGTCCTAGATAGCTGCTGCTTCCACTAGAAGGCTGTTTCATCTACATTGAAAATCTGTTCTGTATGTAGCCACCTTGTTTAATTAACTTGTATAATTTGCTGCAGCTTCTACATCAGCACTTGCTGGTTCACCTTCCATTTTTATGTTCTTGAGATAGTTTTTATCCTTCAACTCATGAGTCAACTTCTGCCAGCCTTTAGGTTTTCTTCTGCAGCTTCCCCACCTCTCTCAGCCTTCACAGAATTGAAGAGTTAGGGCCTTGCTCTGGATTAGGCTTTGCTTAAAGGAATGTTGTGGCTGGTTTGATCTTCTATCCAGACCACTAAAACTTACTCCACATCAGTAATAAGGCTGTTTTGATTTCTTACTGTCCACTTCTTCCCTGGAGTAGCACTTTTAATTTCTTTAAATAACTTTTTCTTTGCATTTTCAGCTTGGCTAACTCGTGCAAGGGGCCTATATTTTGGCCTCTCTCAGGTTTTGGCATGCCTTCCTCACTAACCTTAATCATTTCTAGTGTT